CCTAATAGCCAAAAATAAAATAAAAAAGTTAATTTATCAAGCTGTCATAGTGATTGCTTGATATAAACTGACAAGAAAAAAAAAAGTTTTTTTATTTTATTTTTATTTTTTTTACAAAGTGTAAAAAAATTAAAATAAAGTGTAAAACAAAATTAGGAAAATATAAATTATATATAAATATATTTTTTATACTATAATTAATATAAAAAAATTCTAAAAAAAAATAATAATAATCAAAACTTGTGAAAAAAGTGTTTTCTTCTAGTTTTTTTCCTCATTTTTTTTATTTTATTCAAACTAAGTGAGGGGTTAGGTACACATATGTGATATAATTATATAGCCCTATCTGTCCTCTAAAAAACTATATATAATATGTGTGGGTACATTTAGTAAGAAAGTATATTACTGCTGTGGAAGAATCACACAGAAAAAATGTAAAAAATGTGTCAGTCATTTATGAACAGAACCTGAAAACTAGCTCAGTCATGAAGGGGTTAAACAAGTAAAAAAATGTAAAAGAATCCAGCCGGGTGACGCCCCACTGTGACGTCATCGCGCATGCGCATGACACTGCCTACAGCGTGCTCGATGAAGTCATTGCGCATGTACGGTCATCTTATTGACGCCTGCCGATAGCCATCTTGGTGATGGACGCCAGCAGAGAGAGGAGGGGACGTTCACCCGGCGGGATGAGGTTGCAATGGTTCCCGGAAACTTCGCCACTCCCAGTCGCGGACTCGAGTCGAAGCTCGGCCCCCAGGCTGCCAACGTCAGACGGGACCGGCCCCTTCCGTGTCATAAGACGCGACCTCGCAACTGTCTGGCGTTCCAGCAACCCGATGCGGATGCCAGACGAGTGCCGGTCTCCTTACAACCAGCACCCTCTACTGCGCTCCCTGACAGGAGGAAGGAGGATCTTTTTGCTGAGTGTTGCGACACAGCTGTTTGCCCTCACTGGGGACTCTGCGCTAGCGTGCCCAGGACTAAGCCAAAGACCTAACCAGGATAACTAACTGCAAGTATATCCCTCTGCGCCGCTGCCCATTGGGGCTTTATCTGATTACCTGTAGCCTGTCTGGACTTATCACTAACACTACAGCATTGATCATATGTGGAAGATATTAAACTCGCACACTAGAGGATTACTCCTATGTGGTGCAGATATTATGCTGGCAACCTAAAGCGTTACTTCTATATGACCGTCACTATACTGACACACTAAAACGTTAACTCAGATCTACCACCAAAAGAAAGCTCTATCTGTCCTCAAAAAAGGGTATACAATTGATTTCAGTACAGCGTTGCATGACGGAATAAATGTCAGTCAAAGTAACGCAGCGCTGAATACTGAAAAATGGCCTGGATGGGAAGGGGGTTTAACACCGCGGATGTCAACTGGTTAAGCATCCAAAACCGTTGATCTTGACTACTTCAGGTTATTGCCTTCTCACTCAAACTATTAAATTTACTATAGGCATAGCAAGCTTAGTGAGGTTGGAAGATAGACTGATGATGCACTGAGGTTGCTTGGCAAATTAACCCTTGCCATCACGTACTCCTGGGCCAGAGCACGTGACTGTTAACGTCTCTCCGCAGCTGAGTTCCATCTTCCTATTAAGTAGATTATTACAGAGGTATGCCGCCGGGTCCCCTCCTCTCTCCTGACACTGTGTCCTTGACCGAGTGCCCGACTTTTCATAGGGGGTGACACCAAAATGACTGACAGTCATTTTGGTGTCACCCCTCCAATGGTGGCACCCGGGTGCGGGCCGCACCCCCTGCACCCCCCTTGTGACGCCACTGGCCCTGTGTGTGAAATGCACCAAATACACTACAATTCTTATTATTTAAACTACTCTTATATTAAAATTTACTGTTAATGCTAATGTACCCTGAGCTGAAGGTATGGTCATTATTAGCATGGGCTCCCAGAAACCTGAGAGTTATTTCAATGGTATCTTGTTGTTAAAATAATTGAGAAGGGGGGCGTGGCCTGAACATGGCGCTGAGAGGATGTGAGTAGGGAGAGCTCCGGGGAGTGATGGAGTAATTGCCAGTAGATCACCTGATCAGACACCATTACGCCCCATGTCCAGAGGCACCAGGAAATCGCGGACCCCCCGCGCCCCTCCACGCCCGCGGGTACAGGCCCGATTGGACCCCTTTCTATCACAGCCGGCCAGGGGAGTCAGGGCCAGAAGCCAGACCGTGCGGTCCTCGGGCTCCGGGCCTACAGCGTGGCGAGCGGAAGTGCAGGGACGGTCTCCGGCCGAGGCCCAGCCAGGCTCCACTCAGGAGGCCACTCGGTCCCAGATGGAGCAATCACCCTCCCCACCCAGCTCCCTACCTGACCCGATGTTGGGACTCGTGGCGACAGCACCCCAGGGACGCCCGCAAGCGGCGAGTGACATGGACATGCCCAGCCGGTCTGACCTCTGTGCCATGCTGGCGGCGCTCCCGACCAAGGATGACATGCAGGCCATGATAGGCCAGATTGCAGCCACCCTCCGTGCGGATATAGCAGAGGTGAGGGAGGGGGTCGCCGAGCAGGCACAACGCATAGAGGCCTTGGAGACGGCAGACTCCGCGATAGAGGCACGGGTTTCCCAGTTGGAGGAGGCAGTCCTGATACAGAAGACCCACTCGATCCAATTACAGTTGCGGCTGGAAGACACCGAAAATCGTAACCGCCGCAATAACCTGCGGCTGCGGGGGATCCCAGAAGCTACCGGAGGCCAAGATCTAAGGGCAGCTGTGACAGCTCTATTCAATGGCCTACTCGGTAAGCCCCCGACAGAACAGCTGGAACTGGACCGGGTACACAGAACCCTAGGCCCCAGAGGACCCGATGGCAACAGGCCTAGAGATGTTCTGTGCCGCGTGCACTTTTTCACTGTTAAAGAGGAAATCCTTCGCAATGCATGGAGACAGGGCGCTGTAGACTTTGATGGTGCTGACATCCAGATCCTCCCTGATGTGTGCCCGCAAACCTTGCACCGTAGGCGCCTTCTCAAGCCCCTTACAGACCATCTCCAAGCGGGGGGTATCCCTTATCGTTGGGGTTACCCATTCTCGCTGATGATCGGCAGAGGCGACAGGTCCTTTAGACTGACCCACCCACGTCAACTGCCTGACCTGATGGACTTTCTCGACTGTGCTCCACTCCTGATACCAGACTGGCTGGACGTCTCTGCGGCTGAGGCCTCGACTACAGCATCCCACAGTCCATCGGGATCCCGGAGACCCAGAGGGGCTCGCAATAGATCCACGTCTCGGCCCACGAGGAGGGATCGCCCGGAGGAAGAGGCAGCGACTGCAAAGAATCGAGGCCTTATATGCCCAACTGCGAGCCTTAGAGTTGCGTCACAGGGCTGCTTTAGACGGGGACACCCTGACGGCCCTGACCCAGACTCGATCAGAACATAGAGACCTGTTGCTGGAGGGGGTACGGGCCCAATTAAGGAGAGCACTGCGCACGTTGTATGAATTTGGGAACAAACCGGGAAAGCTCCTAGCACGTGAGAGATGTTAGATCCCGTACATACATACCATTCATCCGTTCGACAGAGGGGGCACTAGTCTCCAGATCCAAAGACATAGCGAGGCAATTCCATTCGTTCTACTCTGCCCTCTACAATCTACATCAGGGCGCAGGACAGTCGGGGACTCAGGAACGGACTTGGGCGATCCGGGCGTACCTGACCAGCTCGGGCATGCCCCGCTTACCCCGAGTCGGCTGCACTAAGTGTGGAAGTACATATCTCGGTGGGGGAATTTGAAATGGCCCTGAAAAATATGAAACCAGGGAATTAGATTAGAGTCAACGAGGCCCTGTCTGAACCCATCACCATTTCTAATGGGACTCGCCAAGGATGTCCGCTCTCGCCCCTTATCTTCATACTTGCGCTCGAACCACTACTTAGGACTATACAGGAAACCCCCGGACATAAGTGGACTGGACTGCGGTGGAAGACAGCACAAGGTTGCGGCTTACACCGATGACCTGCTGCTATATGTTACGCACCCAGAAATCTCCCTACCCAATGCCATGCACGCGATACGCGCGTATGGACAACTGACAGACTTTAAGCTGAATTGGAGTAAATCGGAGGCGTTGAATGTATCACTCCCAGAGGGTCGACTGGCGCAGCTAAGGGACTCTTTTCGATTTCGGTGGGCGGACTCATCAATCACTTACCTGGGGGTGGCTATACCTGCAGATATCCGTAAAACGTTCTCCCTGAACTTCCTCCCTCTCCAGCAACGTTTCACATTAGATTTGGCATCCTGGGACCGCCCCTCCTTTACATGGCTAGGTCGCAATAATATCTTAAAAATGATGGTTATGCCGAGATTACTCTATCTCCTCCAAACGCTTCCAGTGTCAATCCCGGTGACATTCCTCCGCCGGCTCAGATCTCAATTCCTAACCTTTTTGTGGATGCACAAGAGGGCTCAGTTGAGGCATCAGATATTATCCAGATCCAAGAGAGCTGGGGGCCTGAGCTTTCCAGATCCGGTGATGTACTATAAAGCGACACACCTGTCAGTGGTGGTAGACTGGTGTTGTAACTCCAAACACAAGCTGTGGGTGGAACTGGAACAACTGGAGTGTACCATGGAACAGTCCGTGACGATCGTGGGAGAGTATCCTTTGGAGAGTTGGTGTGTTCTTAAGGTATATTATGTAAAGAAAATGGAAAAGTCGTGGGAGTACAGACGCAGACCAGACAGATGTGGCCTGGGATTGAGCAATGTATAGGGGGCGAGCCGGGCAAGACAATAGTTTGTAGGAGAAAACGAAGTTATATGCATATATATGACACTGCCTGGCCGTGAGGCCCAGATGTTTGTGTGGTCCTGTGTATGTACTCTTATGTTTGCAGAAATAAAGAATTTAAAAAAAAAAAAAAATTGAGAAAGGCTGCTCTATACAGTGAGTTAGGCTGTTAAACATACTGAAAAAAAAAGTAAAAAATGTTTGATTAGATTTTGCTTACCATGCCTAGGAGGACAGGAGACACAAATAGGTCCCCATCCCTGCCCTTGTCCACAACAACATTCATTCAGCGATACTCGGTGAGCACTCATTGGATGGGTGCAAATCCCATCTGTGCCTCGCATCCTCCAACAGGTATCCATTGCTTCTGTGCGATCTGTAAAGTAGAGGTATTTTCATTAAGAGATTTTAATGTATGTTGTTTTTGTATGCTGTAGCTTAGCTATTAAGTCATTGATAGGACAGTAAGATAAACAATATAAATCTACAGTTTTTAGCTTTGGTCCAGGCCTGAAGTTTGCATTTGGCATAATAGGCCCATGCCTATTTCCATATTTTCAGAGGTGCTTACCCCTAAGGTTGCTTCTTTAGTGCCATTGTGCTGCCTAACAATGTGTCTTTGCATTAAATTGAAATGGAGACTGAACGTTTTTATGTTTGGGACAAAGAATCTCTAGCAGGCTTTTATTGCTGTCTGCCCTATTGATATGACTTTCCCTCACCTCCTCTGTAATCACTGGGTAAGCAAGTAAGTAAAATCTTTCTGTGAAACAGAGAGCAAAAAGCACTTTTTTTGTTTTCTGATGGGGAGGACCCTGGGTTTTTTTCCATATTTGTAGCAGGTCCTCTCCTGTTTTGAAATGGATTACTTTCAATTCCCTATAAACTTGCATCTCCACAATATAACCCTTTGAAGCTGCTGAAGCTATCTTGAGCCTATCTTTATTTCATGTCTGGATGACCTCAATGATTCATCAATCACGTCTCCCCTTGATACATGCTGTCTTTGGCCCTTCTCTCACAGATATTAGCTTTCTTTTTCATCAATCATTTTCCTCCTAAACTTTATGTGAAAGAACACATTCCTGGCATACATTTAGACATCCCTGCTCAAAAAAAACAATCAGCAGATTGCACAGCTAAAGTCTGCAGCATTTAGTGGCCAGCAGGGAGAAGCAGAGAATCCCAGGGCAGAGAATAGCCAGCAATAAAGCAGGGAATTTAAAGGGATCCAGGGGATGTTTTGTTTCATATAATGCTTTTGTGCCGCCCCAATGGGAATTAGAAGTTTATATAGATAAGGATTTATATAGTTATTTCTTTAAATCATTTTTCATATAGCTATTTTATTGTTAGTCCCTATGCTGCCATCTAGTGACCTTTTGTGGTAATGCACTTGTTTTTTATGTTCCCTTTCTTTAGATCTATGACACATTTCCTTTGTATGTAATGCCCCACCCTTCTTCCTGGTCAGTACTTCCTGTGTCATGGATGCAGCCACAGGCCACATGTGACAAGGGACACATGTATTCCACATAGTACGCTACAAAGTTATCCTCTTTTGACTGCATAATACCACAGCTCAATCGTCTGTTGTTTCCGGTCATCTGCTGTAACCTGATGTTCAGAATAAAGCAACCCTTGTGGATGAAACGGTATTGGTGAGTTCAGCTATCTGACAATGATTGTCCTCAGTGATTGAATCTGCTTATACAGGCCAGGCATAGAGGTCTCAGCAAGGGATAAGTCACTAGCACAACAATCGGAGTCAGAATAGTCAAAAGATGCATAGAATTCCTACAGCCTGCTGTGTATATGTGTGTGCCTAATCTGCAATCAAGCTCAGTGCCGTCCGCCATCTTGTGAAAGCACATGGTCGCACAAGCTTACTGCACTTCATGTGGATGTTGAAAACTGTTTCTCTACATTTAACTATGTTACCCCACCTGTCTAAGCTGCTGTTTGTCTTCTTAAAGAGACAGTGCCATTTTTTGCAAAAACGTGAATAATGTCTAGACAAGGCTCTGAACACTCTTTTATGGCTGAACCAATGCAGATTCATCATGCCTCTGAACCCGCAGACATACAGGGAGCAGATTCTGCAGATATTGCCGAACAGAGTGTAAGACCCAAACGTACAAAAAAACAGACACAGAAACTCAGAGAAAACTATGAAGCCACTAGAGATGAGTTCTCCAGTAATCTGTCAGACCTCTGGGACAGAACTTCACACTGCATATCAGTTTTGTCACACTTTAATGATCAACAAGCTGAATTAAGAGACTCTATAGATCTCTTATCTGCTGCGTATGAACACTACCAGCGGTTGTCTGCTAAATACAGAGCTTTCTTACTGGACTGTAAGATAGAGGACTCTTCAGCAGAACTGACCAGGACTGATGCACTGAACCAACAAAGGGATCTCTTAGTGCAAGTTACCAAAGAAAGGGCAGAACTCCGCATTGCTCAACTGCAGGAGACCAGATCTCAACCAAGCACACTGCACGCTCTTCTAGGTCCTCTCGCTCCAGAAGTTCAACATTAAGCGACAAGGTAATAGAGGCCCGCACTGATGCGGAATCAAGAAAAGCACAAAGCTCCTTTACCAGAATGGAAGCAGCGGTAGAAACACAAAAGGCAGCTCGCCATGCAGAGATGGTAGCTCACCAAGCAGAGATGGAAGCACAAAAGGCTGCTCGCCAAGCAGAGATGGTAGCTCACCAAGCAGAGATGGAAGCACAAAAGGCTGCTCGCCAAGCAGAGATGGAAGCTCATCAAGCAAAGGCAGAAGCTCAAGGCAAAGTTTTCCAAGCACAAATGGCTGCTCAACAAGCAGAGGCGATGCAAATGGAAAGGGAGGAAGCAGCTGCCCTAGCAATGCTGAAAGTCCTTGACCAAGCAATGGGACAAAGTACTAACTCAGACTGCTTTATCGCAGCAGAACTGGAAGATCCAGTTGAACGCACCAGTGGTTATGTGCTAAAGCATAATGTTTGCAACGATACAGAGTCATCTCCTGTACCTCCTCCTAACAACACTGTTCTGACTCTCAACACAGCGACCTCTCCCCACCAAATGCCTGAGCCTCTTCAAATCTACAACACAAGTGCATCGACGCAGCAAGCCGCATCAACTCCTGCCAACAACAAGGTGACAAGCCGCAGCTCAAGCCACAGCCAGCAGAAGTCTTAGAGACTACACCAAAGTTAAATGCTCTTGCAACATAATTTTATCCTGGTAAACCTCACCCTTCTTCACCAGAGAACTTTCACACCCAAGGGGTTCCACAAGTCACTTTGGCACCAAAGAGTGAGAGATCAGACATGGCTGACTTCGCCAGATATATGGTACACCACAAGCTCATTAACACTAGCCTCTCAAGGTTTGATGACTGTCCAGAGAGCTACAGGGCCTGGAGATCAAACTTCAAGGCTGCTATTGCTGATCTCAACCTTACTACCAAGGAGGAACTTGATTTGCTGATAAAGTGGCTGGGGCCAGAATCTGCAGATCGTGTTAAAAGACTGAGAACAGTACATGTTGACCACCCAGATGCAGGCCTTGTTGCTGCATGGGCAAGACTTGAGGTAGCTCTGAAGCCATAGAAAGCGCTCTATTCAAAAGACTGCAAAACTTCCCAAAAATAGGGAACAAAGATCATCGCAAGCTCCAAGAACTAAGTGACCTCCTCATGGAGCTAGAACTGGCAAAGACAGACCCACGTCTACCTGGACTAAGCTTCCTGGACACTGCACATGGTGTCAATCCAGTGGTGTCTAAACTGCCATACGGCCTGCAAGAGAAATGGGCTCAAGGTACAAAAGAGACTATAATGTATCTTTTCCTCCATTCACATATTTTTGCAGGTTCATCAGTGATTAAGCCTGGATGAGAAACGATCCCAGCTTCAGTGAACCCAACTTGCCTGCTTCATCATCATCATCATCATCAAGGTATGATAACACAGCAGCTAAACATAGAGACTTTAATAGAGCAATATCTCTTAAAAGGACAGACATCTCACCACCCGTATCCTCACCTGCATACCAGAGTGATTCGGATGATAGAGATAAAGACCCTAATCGTCAGTGCCCTATTCACAAGAAGCCTCACCTCCTTAAGAAATGTCGTGGGCTTAGGGCAAAGACTTTACAAGAGCGCAGGGAGATTCTCCAGAAACTTGGAGTATGCTACAGGTGCTGTGCTTCTTATAGTCATTTTGCTAAAGACTGTAAAGTTGTCATCAAGTGCACAGAATGCAGTAGCGACAGACACGTAACAGCTATGCATCCTGGCCCACCCTCAGACAATCCACAGCAGCCTCCTACCTCCAACCCTCTTTCAAATCATGGCGAGGAGCAACAAAGTCATGCTCCAGCCACGCCAAGTGTTTCTTCCTTATGTACTGTAACCTGTGGGAAGAGCCAAGGGCAACCACTTGCAACAGTTACATCAAAATGTAGTAAACTACATCACAAAAGACTTTGGAGCAAGACCCTTGCAAAAATAGTTCTTGTCAAGGTGTTTCGCCAAGGACAACCAGAAAAGGCAATCAAGATGTATCCAGTATTCGATGACCAAAGCAGTCACTCACTTGCCACTTCAGAGTTCTTTGACTTATTCGGCATAAAGGGTAACGTGCTATCCTACACATTGCCCAACTGTGCTGGTTCAGTGGAAGGTTCAGGAAGAACAACTTATGCTTCCGAATGTATTATTACTCCTATAGAGGGAACAGAGCGGATTCCTCTTCCTCAGATCATTGAGTGCAATCAGTTGCCTAATGACAGGGAGGAGATTCCTACACCAGAGGATGCACTTTCTCGACCTCACCTATTTTATTTAGTTGACTGTATCCCACCACTTGACAACAATGCCAGAATTATGCTTCTCTTAGGCAGAGAAATCCTGAGAGTACACGAGGTACGTCAGCAGCACAATGGGTGGAATGATGCTCCTTATGCCCAAAGGACTGACCTAAGTTGGGTACTTATTGGAATCAAACGAGATTGCGAACTTCATGCCTCAGGTGATGTGTGCTCCAATAAGATCATCGTACAGGTAAACCAAGACAACATCACTACACCACCCTGCAATAGTTCTGGCACGACTAAGCACCAGGTTTCCTTCAACAGCTCGGATGAGAAGGAATCCACTGATGCAAGCACCCGGAACAACGCACCTGATTGTTCAAGCATCACTCCAGTGACTCCACAAGCAGTGAACATCTCGGGAAACTCATCGGAGTCTTCTACACCAGTGATCGTGCAAGATGATTCTCCTCTTCATGAAGAAGCAATAGACCTGCTACCAAAGACTCAAGGTATGCTTTCTGAAACCAACCTTAGACTACATAAGACTGTCTCAAACAATGTTGTTGTTATGAAAGTCTTTCAACCGGGCGATCATGACACAGGGTTTAAAGACTTAAATCTGGGAATGGACATGCCACCTGTACAGAGAAGTCTGGGCCTACGGTGTGACTTATTGAAAGACACCTTCAGCTTTCAAGTCAGCTCTGTATACAAGCCATTTACTAAGCGTGGTGTTCTGTCAGTGGTGAACAGCCTGTACGATCCACTGGGATTTGCGGGTCCTATCACCATACAAGGTAAATCCTTACAGAGACGGCAATCTCCACATGCCTTAGATGGAATTCATATATCACGCTGCTACACTTCAGCTTCCCTTGCTGCAAGTCAGAGAAAAGAGCTTTATATCTTCTCAGATGCATCTACTGAGTCCATAGCAGCTGTTGAGGTAGGCAACAGCTTCCCTTGCTGCAAGTCAGAAAAAAGAGCTTTATATCTTCTCAGATGCATCTACTGAGTCCATAGCAGCTGTTGCCTACCTCAAGGTGAGAGACTTTTCTAATCAAACCCACATAGGGTTTCTGTTTGGCAAAGCTAAGTTAGCATCTAAGCCTGAAAAATGCCATTATGTTCAATCAGAAGTTAAGTTAAGATTATGCCACCAGGCCAGTGTCTGCCAGTGTCTTTGCAAATTATTCTTGGTCAACAGGTCCTGAATTCCTGCTGAATCATCCAGAAGAAGCTACAGCTGATGTCGTCAGTCTTCTAGAACCCGGCAAAGATCCAGAGATTCCTCCTGAAGGCAACACCCTTGTAACCAGATCTGAACAAGGATTCGTCTTGGGCTGTCATTTCACCAAGTGGACAAGGCCTGACCGCACTACTGCAAGGTTAGTCCATACTACACACTGCTGTAACACTAAGCCCAATGATACTTGCTGTCAGGACTGGCTCATATGTCAAAACCCTCTTTCTGCAAAAGACATTGCTCAAAGTGAGCTGATTCTACTACACAATGCAGAACAGAACATCTCTAGCACAGATATAAAATGTGTTCGTGACAGGCAAGACATTGCTAAAAACAATCCTACTGCCAAGCTGAATCCAGTCATCAAGAGTGATGTGTACACAGATTCAAAGCTTACAGCCATCCTTACCCCAGCTACTCTTCTCACCCAGAAGCATGGAACTGTGCCTGTTTCACATGGAGACTTTGCAGCTGGAGTTACATGAGCCCATGTTCTTCAGGTACCTACGTGCACCATGCACATCCAGGATGGCCTTATTCGAAGTGCCTTTAACCGGCCAAAGAGACTATCTTGTATCATCACTATGGAACTTTACAAGTTTGCCTCTCACTTGAAAGACGGTTCCAGTGATCAAGTCTACTATCCTGATAGTTATCAGACTTTATCTTATATTTGAACTTGTGGATATATGTTCTTTCTTTATTTTAGGTTCAGAGGACAAGCTACAAGTTCATGTTCATGTTTACACTGTTGTTTATTTGCATAACTACCGTTATGATGTAAATAGTGACATTTACAATGCCAGACGGGGAGTGTGCCGCCCCAATGTAGCATAGAAGTTTATATAGATAAGGATTTTTATAGTTATTTCTTTAAATCATTTTTCCTATAGCTATATTATTGATAGTCCCTATGCTGCCATCTAGTGACCTTTTGTGGTAATGCGCTTGTTTTTTATGTTCCCTTTCTTGAGATCTATGACACATTTCCTTTGTATGTAATGCCCCACCCTTCTTCCTGGTCAGTACTTCCTGTGTCATGGATGCAGCTACAGGCCACATGTGACAATAGATACATGTATTCCACATAGTACGCTACGAAGTTATCATCTTTTGACAGCATAATACCACAACTCATTCGTCTGTTGTTTCCTGTCATCTGCTGTAACCTGATGTTCAGAATAAAGCAACCCTTGTGGATGAAACGGTATTGGTGAGTTCAGCTATCTGACAATGATTGTCCTCAGTGATTGAATCTGCTTTTACAGGCTAGGCATAGAGGTCTCAGCAAGGGATAAGTCACTAGCACAACAATCGGAGTCAGAATAGCTTTTGAAAAAGATCCAATGGGATTTGTAGTTCCACAAGAGCTGAAGTGCCAAGGTTGCCTACTTGTCCTAACATATATTGCTGAAGTGCCAAGGTTGGCTCCCTGTCCTAACATATATTACCTGTACGCTGCTTTTCTGAATCTGCAGTCAAATGGGACTTACATCCATTGGAACAGCAGGTAGAGCTCCATGGTTCTTTGGAATCATATGCCTTAGGTCTGACTATAAATTTTTCTTCCAGCTGAAAAAAAATCTTATCTATGGGATTTTAATATTTTTGACTGTAGGCAGAGTAAAAAAAAAATATATATAGGTAAGACCAGAGCAGTGTCGAGATTTAATGTTAAACTTCATACTTTCTCCTAATATTGAAAAGGAAATCCTATAGCAGGCACTGAGAAAGAAGCATAACAGACAAGCAGCTTGTCATATCCTGAAGTGAAATGCGATAAAATGCTAGGAGAGCACATGGTAAAAAGTTACAATACATTTGTAGAAAGATTAGCATGCATGTGTGCTGACTGGATAAAGGATGGATTGTAAAATGAAGGGGACCTCATCAGAGGAATTTACAAAGGCTGTGCCTAAAAGCATTTATCCTTATATTTTTTATTTGTGCAACAAATGTCAGTATCTATAACCAGGGCCGGTGCTAGACTATTTTGCACCCTAGGCAAGACCAGCTACTTGCACCCTTCCCATATTGAAACCCCTCCCACTGGGCAGAGGAGCGGACCTGAGAGAGAAAGTTGTCTCTCAGTGGGCAGGTGCAATAGCCAGCCTGCTATTGGCTTTTGCAATTTGAAATAGATGGGGGCGCCGTGGGGGGTGAGTGGTCAAGGCTGCGCCTTAGGTAGCTGTGCTCCCTAGGCGGATGCCTAGTTTGCCTAGTGGCAGCACAGGCCCTGTTTATAAACAATTTACATACATGTCATTAATGTGTATGTGAATTTGTCAGTATCAACATTAACCCCTTCATGACTGAGCTAGTTTTCAGGTTCTGTTCATAAATGACCGGGCAGAAACAAAGTTAACTCTTGTAGTGGGGCTACCCCCGCAAGAAATACTGAGACACTTTTCATAGTATGAAAATGAAGGAAAAATAAGATTAGTCAGAAGGTCTTAAAGAAAAACTCCAATCCAGTGCTTGGTCCAACAATGCCAACACACTAACAGGGTTATTCATAAAAGAGTGAGGAGTTTGGAGAAGGCAGGAGAAGTGAACAATCTAGGACAACATAGCTGCACTGGAAAGTGAGCTGAATTGGAGAATCTTTCCAAATCAGCTATTTTGGCCTAGATTGTTCACTTGTCCTGCCTTCTCCAAACTCTTCACCCTTTTGTCAAAAACCCTGTAAGAAGTGTAGTAATAAGAACTATGTGAATTTGTTGCAGCAGTTGGTGAATTCAAATCAATTGTTGCAAGGCTTCTGTGAATGCGGCTCACACATGACCTATAATACCAACAGAAAACAGGTTCTAAAGCTTTGTGATTTCCACCGCATATGTTTTGGAAAGAAAACATAATATAACAAATGCTTGATTAGGAAAGAATACTATTTGTGCACATTTTTGCTCATTACCTGACTGCATCTCAGGGCGATTACAATGCCTTCCCAGGGGATCCAATGTCCATGGAGGGGTACACTCGCAATAGAAGGATCCAAGGGTGTTTACACAGCGACCATTGCGACACAATGCTCTCTCCTGACATTCATCAACATCTATATATTATATAAATAGAAAAAAAGTAGTTCAGAATCATTGTTGTATGTCTACTTGGAAAAGCTTTGATGAGACCTATATAATTATATGAATAATATGTTTAGGAGTAGCTTTAAAAACAAGTCACCAGGTGGATTTAACACTCTTGCTGATGTATACAGAAATTTAAGAATTCCACACTACATACAGTGTGCGGCACTAAGTATCCATTTAGTTACTTAAATATTATGCTGATAATTCTAATATTTTTAAATCACAGGTATATCTGTGCCTTCCTGTCCCTGTGACCACTGTTCCCCCCTGATGTAACAGGCTGAAGGTGAGGAAAACTTCTGGGATTCAGAGTAGGACATCTTGCAGATATAGTCTGGAGAAGCAGCAGTCAGGTCTCTGGCTATGTTCAGATGATAAGATACGTCAGATAGTGGACTGCTGCTTCTTCAAACTACCTTTCATCTATCTCCCTTACCAAGAAATGATTTTGGCATTCAACCCCTTGTTTACATTTTAACCCAGGTTCCCTAGCAGGAAGAAGGGACCTGCGTTTTCAGAAGCAGCCTACATGCTTTACTGACTATTCAAGAGCCATCATTAGACACTTTGTAGAGAATCTAAACAACTTTGCCATCCAGCGCCATTCCATACTCAACTTTGCCTAGAAATAAAACCCCAACAGAAATGTTACCTCTTCCTCGCTTTTATCAAATAGAAATGCATTAAAGCAGTGACAGGCCTAAGGATCAAAGGGCCCTGGTGCAAGATTTTTTTCCGGGCCCCCCCCCCCGGGTCTTACAATGCCCATACTGGCCAACTAACCACCTGAAAGCCCGCAATGACCACCTGAGAGCAGAAAAACAAGCTCAGGACTCCCACTGATTCTGCAATATGTTGACTTGTATAATAATCTCATTATATATTACAGTGTAATAATAATAGAAATAGAGTGTACAATAAATGTGCTTGAAACATCCCCAAACTACCTCTCCCCTCACATCTACTACCTCCCCCCCAACCACCGCCCTCTCGCTTTGGAAAACATTTTTCAGCTAAACCGGTCCTGATTCCAAAAAGGTTGTGGACCACTGCTATAGAGGACTACAACTCCCAGCAATACTTTATATGGCAATGGAGAATGGCTTTGGCTATGGAGGACTGCAACTCCCATTAATATTTTATACATAGTTTGCAATTCTGCATTGCTGTATAAAGTTCTGCTGGACGTTGTAGTCCTCTATAGCCGTTACCATTCTGCATTTCTGTATAAAGTATTGCTGGGAGTTGTAGTCCTCTATAGCTGATGCCATTCTATCCTGCAGCCCTTCTGCTCCTGGTCACTGGAAAGGCAGAGCCCGCACTGAGGCATGTACAGAGCATCCAGGGCAAGGCAAAGCAATTGCATGACTGAAGGGATGCCGGGGATGTGCTGTTTGATAAAACATCTGCTTCACTGAAAAACATCGTCACTGATGTTTTAGCAAACAGGACATCCCTGGCATCCCTTTAGACAGGTTTGCCCCCCCCCTCGCAATACCACAGCTAGGACACTCTGGGGGGGGTTGAACCCCCCTATTCCCCCCTTGTCTACGCCCCTGAAAGTGACAGTTGTACAGACTCTTCTCCCCTTGGCCGCTCTGTGGCTGCAGCTGTCATTACTGTATGCCGGCTTCACTGATCAATGAGAAGAGTGATCGGCGCTGCAGCGGCCGTTTTCAAAGGGCATCGGCTCAGTCCCTCTGCTGGTGTCCCTCCCTACAGACTGGAAGACGTTGGGGATCGGACCTCAGTGGGCCCCTCATCTGCCTTGGGCCCCGGGCCCCCGCACCGGCTGCACCGGCGGTAGTTCCGCCCCTGCATTAAAGATGAGAATACACATTCAGCTGAATTCTACCCAGAGTAGGAAACATTTGCAGATGGCAGAAATTGACAGAATTTTTCTGATCTATGGCAAAAATGCTATGTAATTTTTTTTTTAAAGGAGAACTATGAGATGAGTGATTTCCACTCACCTCATAGTTCTAGCCGACCTGTGACAATGAGACTGTCACAGGTCGGCTCAGTAGATCGGGAGGTGAGCGAACACATACCAGGTTCGCTCACCTTCCGATCCTGTCACGTCTCTCTGCCGTGACAGGGGGAGGGACTGGATTCCCCTCTCCCCGCTCCGATCTGCCAGCGCTGACTGGCGTAACGGACAGGGGGAGGGGGCGGGTACAGCTGGCTCTGCCTCTAGATAGGCAGAGCCAGCTGTCACTCACGCAGCTGGGCGGATCCCGTCATCTACGTCGGGATCCGCTCCGGCTGCTGCGTCTCAGTATACCGCGAACTGCAGCTCGCGGTATACTGAGCTTAGGGTAACGGGAGGACGCTAGTTTGTGTCCTCCCATTACCCTAAGGAGAACTATGGGGAAAAACACTGACCCCCATAGTTCTCCTTTAAGTCAATGTTGTTGATTTAAACATGGTCAATGATGTTGATTTAAATATGGTCTTCTGGGTGTTTTCCAGCCCCTCTTGTCATTTGCAATAGTCATTCAGGATGACTGACCTCTTGAAACGACATATTACCTTACAGAAAAGAATGTAAGATAGCTGCCGTTGTCATCTACAATTTGTTCTGATAAAAGTAGCAACATGACAATGGATCTGCCACTACTTTAGACTTGAAAACACTAAAGTGCAATGTATGACTACGCTATCGGACTTGTTCTTCTGACAGTTCTAAACAGCGATTCATTGAACAGATGTACAACACTGTGCTGCTATGACATTGAAAATAGTAAGAATAGTTAGTGTTTTGTGTATTTCAGAAAGCAGCCTTATCCTTTTTTTTTTGGTGCAACCAGGATTTTCCTCCAGAAAGGACGATATGAGAGGTCCAGACAGGAAGACATGTATGCAGATTTTGTGGGGCGGACAGACTCTGTGTATCCAGATGACGATCTGTACTGAGGCCGACCAGGCTTCTTTCTATTAGGCCCCTGGGAGCCCATGGTCACTGCCACAATAGGGGCCACAGGAGTGATTTTATTATAGATACTGGGGCTCAACATTCAGTAGTGACCCGACCAATAGCCCATATCTTTGGCAAAGAAATCACTGTTGTTGGAGCCACAGGGAATAAAGTTAACAGACCCTTACTGATGAAAAGACTTTGTAACCTGGGTGGACACCAAGTCCAACATCAGTTCCTATACATGCCAGACTGTCCCATTCCCTTGTTGGGCATAGACTTACTTGCTAAACTCAGAGTACATATATACTTCAAATCTGATGGACAGGCTGTCCTACAACTGCCCCATGCCTCTGAGATCCCTATCATGGTCCTCAGTATGCCAAAAGAGGAGGAATGAAGAATGTTTACTCTGACAGATGGCCCACTCCCTTTCCCAGCAGGACTGGCCAGACACATCCCACCAATCTTTATTGAGCTCAAACCAGGAGCTACCCCGGTCAGTCTGAAACAGTATCCAGTCCCCCGCAAAGCCCTAGCGGCAATCCAAGAGTACTTGGGGAGGCGAGCTATAAGGTATCCAGGAAAAGGCTCAATTATGCCAAGAGACTGTAAAATACCTGGGGTTCAGAGTATCACAAGGCCAGAGACAGTTGGGAGAGGGCAGGAAAGAAGCTGTTTACCAGATCCCTACCCCAACCACCAGACGCAAAGTGCGTGAGTTCTTGGGAGCAGCAGGATTCTGCCGGATTTGGATGCCAGACTTTGCCACCAAAGCCAGGCCCCTCTATAAATCCACAAAGGGGGGGGAGCCTGAGAGCCATTTCTATGGGAGGAACAACAAGACCAAGCCTTCCGAGACATTAAGACTGATGCAGGCCCCTGCTCTGGACTTACCAGACAATCAGAAGTCCTTTTACCTGTATGTCAGGGAAAAGCGGGGAATAGCAGTAGGAGTCTCAAGGCTGTAGGCTGTAGCTCAAGGCTGGCCACCTTGCTTGCGAACCATCGCAACCACAGCCCTCTTGGTGGCCGAAGCTGACAAGTTATCACTGGGTCAGGAGATATATGTTCGAGTCCCACACCAGGTGCAGACCCTAATGGATTACAAATGAAATCACTGGTTCACCAACAGCCGGATGGTCAAATATCAAGCCATGCTGTGTGAAAATCCCTGGATCCATTTAGACACCCTAAACCCATGCCACTCTGCTCCCCACCTCACAAGAGCTTCTAGCCCATGACTGCCTTCAGGTAATGGATGAAGTCTATGCAAGTCGGCCAGACTTAAAAGATAACCCCTTGGGAAAGCCAGATGTTACATAGTTACATAGTATTTGAGGTTGAATAAAGACATAAGTCCATCAAGTCCAACCTATTGTGTGTGTGTGTGTGTGTGTATAGGTCCCTTAGTCATCTCATTCTTAAGAGTACCTGTACCCCTGTATTTTACGGTCTCTCAGGAAATCGTCCAAAAGCTTCTTGAAAGATTCCACACTATTTGCTGAAATCATTGCTTGTGGCAGCGAGTGCCAGACCCTAACCGCTCGAACTGAGAAGAACCCCCTTCGCCCCTTGTGTTGGAATTTTTTTTCTACCAATTTTAGGTGGTGGCCTCTAGTCTTTGTTACGGAATTAATCTTAAAGAGTTTGTTGCTAATGTTGCTATGACCATTGAACATCTTGTACATGAATATGAAAATCATGTCCCCCCCTTAATCTCCTTACTTCCAGCATGAACATATTTAAATTTAGTAGCCTTGTCTCATAGTTCCGGTCCTCCATCCCCTTGATGAGTTTGGTTGCCCTCCGCTGGACTCTCTCCAGCTCAAGGACATCCTTTCTGTGCACCGGTGCCCAAAACTGCACCGCATACTCCAGGTGAGGCCGAACCAGTGATGTGTAAAGTGGCAAAATTGTAGACTTGTCCCTGCAAAACATTCCCTTCTTGATGCAGGACAGGATTCTACTAGCTTTGCTTACAGCAACCTGGCACTGTAATCTATTATTCAGTTTATGGTCTACAATGACCCCCAAATCTTTCTCCAT